TAAACAATTTTAATATATATGAAAATAATACATAAACAAACACAACTACACACTACCCTACGTTGAAAATCCTTCGTCATTTTTGCCCACACAAAACGCTATCATAAATTTCAATCAGCCTAGCAAAATTCTTGCGAGCAACCACACTCAAGAGAGGTGAACCGTTATCGCAACAAAACACCGCATCACTCATCACTACCATTGGCGGTGATGAGCACATGTGATGTTGTTGTGATAACCACATTTTTGTAAACAAGTTCCCATTACTCCACTGCCAACACGTGGTGGAGCCGGGTATAAAAGGGCAGTCAATGGCAGAATCGTGGCAGTTAGTGCCAGACCGTGAACGTGACAACACTAGCTTCGGTAAGTGACATTCTTCCTTTAATCCTCGGATCCCAATGGCACCCTCGAATATCCTTTTAGTCCTAGTTTCCTATATCCTTGTAGTGCTTGAGTACTTATTAAGGTATCTTGCAATCACATCCTTAAATATCCTTGTAGTGCTTGAGTACTTATTAAGACGACCTCAATAGTTACCTTGAGGAAATCGGTTTTGGAAGAACAGAGGAGAAGGTTTGCCATGTTCTTAGCCCAGTTACATGAGCCGGAAGTGATGTAGGGACTCCTAGAACCCCAAGCTATCCACGAAAAGGAGACAAAGACAGCATCACCGCGGAAGTTAAGCGAGACGGAAGGCGCGGCGTCCACACGGCTAGATGTGCCATCCTCTAGAAGCAGAAAAACACACGACCTTCAGAGTACAGCTGAGCAGGTTCGGAAGTGGGGTATAAGTTTTACTGGGGAGAGTAAGCCGTTCGAATTCGTGGAAAGACTGGAAGAACGAGCCGAGATGTACCAAATCCCCATTAACGACCTGGTAAAAATGATGCCAGAGGTTCTCCACGGACGGGCATTAATGTGGTACCGCAACAATCGCAAGTCGTGGCAATCTTGGGAGGCATTCCGGAAAGACCTGTTAAAGTTCTTCCTCCCTCCTCGATTTATGGAAAACTTGGAAGACGAGATACGCCAGCGAAAACAGAAGCCTCGGGAGTTGTTTAAGGACTATATGTTGTCGATGAAGGACCTAATGAGCCATACCGATTACAACGAGCAGCAGAGAGTGGAGCGAATTTTTAAAAATGCCCTACCCGAGTATATGTTGTACAACAAGCGGAGGGATTTTACCGACTTGGCAAGCCTCCTGGAGATGGCTGAAGACCTCGAAGACATACCATCCGCCCCCAAGCATTGCCAGAGAACACCATCGACAGATTGAGCATTTTGAACCACGGAAATTCCCCGAAAGAAGTTCTAATCCCGCCCCTGCTTGTCGTAGATGTGGTCATGAGGGACACTTTCCCGCCCGACGTCGGAACCCACCGAAACTCTTCTGCTAGGAATGTGGCCGGCAAGGTGTACGGACAATACAGTGTTGCCGAAAAATGTCGGGAAACGAGCGTCGAGCCCGCCCGGACGTAGGGAATGTGGGTTCCAAGACAGTGCCCCCACGAGTCACGGCCCTTTATTCCTCGAACTCACGTCTTATTGCAAAAATTTTAATAAAAGATCGCGTGTATTCAGCCAAAGTGGACATCGGGGCAACCAGAAGCTTTATGAGTAAGAAAATGGCGCAGACAGTTGATCCCCAAGCAGTGAAAAGCATGCGAGGAACCACAATTAGGTTAGCCGACGGATCCCAGCGAAAAATACACCAAATAATGAGAACAGAGGTATCCATTGGTCGGAGTAGACCCCAAATTGAATTTTTTTAAGACAGATGCCAGTGAAGACATAATTCTTGGGTTAGATTTCCTCCGGATGAGCCAGACGAGAATCCAGTGCGCCGGGCTAAGCTGTGATATTCCGATTCTCAAAGCAAATCAAGCTGCAGATACACATTCAGCAAAAAAACGGAATCTCGCGGTGACATCCTTCAGCAATATATGCCCGGGGACAACTAATCCAACGCTCCAACAGCGGATACACCGGACCCAGCTTCACAGTCACCGATTCCAAGGCAAAAACAAAACAGCTCAAAACACGAAAAAGACTCTTGAAAAGGGTACCGATTCGCCTACAACGACATCCTGCAAAATTCTAGCTAGTCCGCTCCAAAGGGCTCCAAAGCGGAACCAGTAAAGGAAACATGCGTTTTGGCAGACGGCGAACATCGCGCATCACCGAAACACTGGAAACGAATCCTTCACGCACCATCCGAATATCCCCCGACTGTTATCTCGCCGATATTAGATGAAGGAACGAGATCGAACACAAATATTTACCACGACTGCATAAAGCTAAATCGTCTCTCAATTAGCCCAACAAGAGAGACAACCATTGCCTCCTCTCGCAAAGCCCTTGCCGCTATTCAGGACAATTTTACTGTATTCCTGAAGAATATCCCAGAGGAAAACCCGACACCGACCGACCTCGAATTCCTATGCAAGGTAGAACTTCCCGAGAATGTAAGTAAAGGCCTGCAGCCTCATATTAAGGTTGCAGTCAAATTACATAGGCCAGGAGAGCAGTACAAGCGAGTGGTTACGGTCGAAAGCCGTAAATTTCGGGTATTGGTAGGACGCAAGCGTCACGTAGTTGTTATACCTCCAGCTTAACGGACCCCACCCCAGGAAGGGAGGAAGTGTGACGGCGAAAATCCTTCGTCATTTTTGCCCACACAAAACGCTATCATAAATTTCAATTAGCCTAGCAAAATTCTTGCGAGCAACCACACTCAAGCGAGGTGAACCGTTATCGCAACAACGCATCGTCCGCTCAAAAGGGTTCCAATACGGAACCAGTGAAGGAAACATGCGTTTTGGCAGACGACGAACATCGCGCATCACCGAAACACCGGAAACGAATCCTTCACGCACCATCCGAATATCCCCGACTGTTATCTCGCCGATATTAGATGAAGGAACGAAATCGAACACAAATATTTACCACGACTGCATAAAGCTAAATCGTCTCTCAATTAGCCCAACGAGAGAGACAACCATTGCCTCCTCTCGCAAAGCCCTTGAAGCTATTCAGGACAATTTTACTGTATTCCTGAAGAATATCCCAGAGGAAAACCCGAAACCTACCGACCTCGAATTCCTATGCAAGGTAGAACTTCCCGAGAGGCCTGCAGTCTCATTTTAAGGTTGCAGTCAAATTACATAGGCCAGGAGAGCAGTACAAGCGAGTGGTTACGGTCGAAAGCCGTAAATTTCGGGTATTGGAAGGACGCAAGCTTCACGTAGTTGTTATACCTCGAGCTTAACGGACCCCACCCCAGGAAGGGAGGAAGTGTGACGGCGAAAATCCTTCGTCATTGTTGCCCACACAAAACGCTATCATAAATTTTAATTAGCCTAGATAGAAATTTATTGGATATTTTTACAAGTGTCGTATTCGTATATTAAACATGTGGCGCACAATAAAATTTAACAGCCTGTTCCACGATCTCGAAAGAAAATTTGTGCGAACGAAGGCTACTCACTCACTTTCGTATAAGAATGCGTTCCACTAACTTTCGTTCTTTCTTTCGCATAGTTGCTAAATATTTTTTGGCAAAATTAATCGCGAAATAAGGCAAAAAAAGCGCCAAATGCCTAATTTAAACGCGAAAAAGCAGCAGTGGCTCTGTCTCAACTGACAGTTCAGTTGTAAACAGACAAATTGTAAATAAACAAACAAAATAAAATTTCTAGTGATTGTGTTCAAATTATTTGTGTTCTTAAAAAAGAAAAAAAATTCTGTAGCCCTATTTTTTATGGATGATGAGGAGGAATTCGAATTTATTTGAAGTACCTAACAACCAGTAAGTATGATTGTATTTTTACATTTTTGAAATAATAAAAAATGATTTTTTCTAGGTTTTTGGCCAATTTTCGTGTGTCGAAGGAAGTTTTTCGGGCTCTTTTGGATATGATGGAAGAGAAGTGGGTGCCCGGTTGCAGAACTACCCAAATCCGCCCCAATTTAAAACTTGGCACATTCTTGCGGTTTTTGGCGACAGGAAGCTCCCAACAGAATTTAGGGAACTTGAGCGAAGTCGACAGTGAGCAGAACCATTGCGGAATGTCTGCAGATTTTTGAGGACCACATTTGCGGCCAATGGATAAAAAAGCCGACACTCACAGAGGAACGCAACACAATGGAGGCTTTCTATGAAAGAACAATGTTCCCTGGAATTGTTGGATGCGTTGATGGTACGCATATCCGCATCAAGTCACCAGGGGACGAATTGAAAGCCCTTTACTATAATCCAAAGGGTTATTATAGCATAATGGTGGTAAGTAAATACATTTACTTCGTAAAGCTATTTTAATATTATTTTGTTGTTTTTTTTATTAGATATGTGACCATAAAATGCGAATAACATTTGTCGGCGCTAAACATCCCGGAAGCAACCATGATGCATTTGTATGGGAAAGAAGTGATCCAGACAAATGTATGCAAAGGGAGTTTGACAATGGAAAACGAAACTTTTGGATTCTCGGTGAGTAATTTGTATACATCTTATATCATAATACATCAATTATATTTGTGTTTTCTTTTTTTATAGGGGATGGAAGATGCAAATTGAAGCCCTTTCTCATGACGCCTTACCGCGGCCCTAGAGATGCCGCCGAGAAAAAATTCAATAAGAGACATGCAAGTGCGCGTAACGTCATTGAAAGGTGCTTTGGGGTCCTAAAGAACAGATTCCGATGTATCATCGGATCTCTGGGCCTTCATTATGACGCTGCAAAGGTAGTGAAAATTATAAAAGCATATTATGCGCTGCACAACATGTGCATACACTACCGATCTGATGAACCGCCAGGTGATGTTATTGATGATGATCTGGAAGGCGAAGTGGATGATAATAATGATCTTGAAAGCAGAGCTGACGCAATAAGGAGAAGAATTGCAACAAATTTGTAAAATTAAAAGAATTTTTTATTAAAATAAAATTAAAAATTTAAAATTAGTTTAAATTATTATTAAAGGACTATAGTGAATTGTCTTGCGAAAAAGTTGATAGAATTGCTTCTATTGACTTAAACCTTTTTGTTTGGGCCTCGGCACAATCTGCCATTCTCTCTGCAGCGTCAGCCATCCTTTTGCTTGCATCTGCTTGCTCCTTGGCTATTGCATTTACCAGCTCGACCAGCCGCAAATGCCGACGGATAAGGGGTATTTGCTCTCCGACGTTGGAACGTTTTTTTGCTGATGATGTGGATGGAAAATCATGTTGTAATGTGCATTTGAATGGGGGTGATTTCTGCACGGATTGATGTTCCATGTGTTGACGAGGGGACATTGGTTGTTTACGTTGGTGTTGCTGTTGGGTCTGTGTGTGCTGACTGTGTCTGTGTTTGTTGTGTGTGTACTGACTCTGTCTGTTGTTTTGCAGTTTGTGTGTAGAGATGGGGTGAGATTTCTTGTCTTTTGGCTGGTGGTTGGTATTGTTGAGTTGTGATGGTACAGGTTTGTACGTTTATTTGTTGTTGTTAGGTATGTGATTCTGGGGAACTGAACTGTCTGGTAGGTGTCACCACTGCTACGGTCTTGGAAGGTCTTGAAGTTGTATCCAATGCCTCGAAGCAGTAATCTATGTCGTCCGCGTAGCCAAAAGTTTTACCACTTGGTGCTGCGGACTTCGACAAGAAGAGTGTCCGGTCAATTGCTGTTTCCAGCTCCGTTAAGCACTCAAACCGGTATAAATCACCACCTGTACCTTGCAGCCCTTTTTTATTTTCCGCAATTTTCTTTTTGGTGCGGGACTTTAGATCGGCCCACGTCTGTAAATAGTAATGCCGGTCAGACAAATAGATCGTAAGCCAAGTTTTCTGACTTACCTTTTTCCACTCTGCAATTGTGCGGGAAGGAGGAACCATGGTATTTAATTTAAAAACTAATTTCTTCCAGTGGTCTTCCAGGAATTGCCTGCTGCTTTCAAAAATTGGCACTCCTCTGGCGAACTCGGGATTCTCCTCCATATACTCAACTAGTGCCCGCAGCTGTGTAGTTGATGATTTTTTCGTGCTGGAATTGAGAAAATAAAAAAATATATTTATTGTTCACATATTAAATTGGATTTATTATTTTTACTTACATTTTTGTTTCCATTTCAATCAAGCAATGTTTATGTTAAAACAATTTTCCTTAATTGTTATCGTACGACAGCAAACACAGAAGTGACTGATTTTGACATTTGGGTTCGCATGCGTGCGAAAGAAAAAAGATAGTGGAACGCAAAATTACACTGAAACGCTTACGTTTTCGTTCGCTTTGATTTTCGTGCAAATTTTCGTTCTGATGGATTTTAGTGGAACGGAAATCAGCTGTTTCTCGTGTAAAAGTTGTGCAAACGTGTTCTTTAGATATCGCGGAACAGGCTGTAAATCGGACGAAGATATATATGGGAGCATCGAAATCTGAACCGATTGCCAGATATACTTCTAGACTGAACCTGGCTGCGTGTACCTAAATTGATTTGATTCGGAAGGATATTACGCATTTGTATTGTATTGTGCACTACCTATGAAATCGAACGACACTATGTATGGGAGCTATATTCAAATCTGATCCGTTAATTACAATTTCCATAGATTTTCAATTGGATGATTCTTTCACTTTTTTAAGGTAAAATATTTTCTTTGTATCAAATGACATTACCCTCTTAGTCATAAGACTGACGTTGCAGAAAACCGAAAAAGAGACATAAATAAAATTGGTCGTTTAGTTTCATGTTTTCCATCTTTTATGTTACTTTTCAGACTTATCAACATCCAGCACGTATATTCGAATCCTTATATAGTAAATTTGTTAAATGAAGCTTTTAACTACTATAAAAAGTATAGTATAATAATAAATAAATAGAGTGCAAAAGGCACGTCAATCCTATTAGCGTTGCTATATTCTCAACTTTTCTCCAATATTCATAATTAGAAAAAGTAAATAAGCAGTATATATATATATATATATATATATATATATATATATATAATTTTAGTGATAGGAGAGAACAACGAAATAGTAAATACTATAAACTTTCCATATGATGAATAATATTGCAAGAGAATAACGTTGTTCTCTCCTATCACAACAATTATATATATATATATATATATATATATATATATATATATATATATATATATATATATATATATATATATATATATATATATATATATATATAATTTTTGTGATAGGAGGGAACAACGAAATAGTAAATACTATAAACTTTCCATATGACGAATAATATTGCAAAGAGAATATTTTTACTGACAATTCTATAATTATTAGCATGTTATTTTGTAAGGCTTCTTAAAAAACTATTTTTTATGGTGCGTTCACAGTCGCAATAATTATAGATCAAAATTTTACTTTTTTGTAGGGGAGATAGCAGATTGCAGTTAAATCTCATTTTCACATCTGTAGTGGGATTCTCTAATTTTTGGAGTTACCGAAAAAAATCTGTAACTTTGAAATACAAATTTTGGATACAAACAATAAGTTAAAGTTGGCAACATTGGTATCTATATATTGGTCTAGAGACTGATTGTTATGAACTACTAAAAAATATAATATTAGCAAAATGCATGTATACGTCGAATATAATGTGCAGTTTTAATAAAACTTATGTGTTTTTTTACTTTTTATGTTGCTATATTTTTGAATTTGTTAATATATTGAATACATTTGGTTTTACGTTAAATATGTTTTTCAAATAACATATAAAGATAACGGCGCCGTAAGCGTTACACATATCGGCGTCTATGTTGAAAAGCAGCGTCGACATTTACTTTTCAGTTTGTTTCAATAAAATTATTAGTAATAGGAGAGAACAAAAAATGCTAGTATTCTCTTGTTTTAAAGCTGCAGTAAGTGCTACAAAATTTCCATATCATGAAAAATATTGCAATGTCTATTCTATCTATCATAATTCTAAGGTAACCTGTTTACTTGATATCTTGTAAGGCTTCTTAGTGAAACTATTTTCTATCTGATGCGTTCACATTCGCATAAAGTGTCGGTGAAATTTCTATCGCTTTGCTTGTGCTTGATTCGAATACATGCATAAGAATTATTGCAATTAATTGTATTTGGTATTTCAAACTCTCAATATGTAACAGTCTATGAAGTAGAAAATTTTAACCAAAAATTCATTCTTGTGTATCGTTTCCCCTTATATTTCCCACTTCTACACAGTCAACCTTTTCTGGATTCGAGAAATTTGACATTTGATAAGGCGCTATCTGGATTATTGGCGAAATAACTTCATAATGATGCTAGTCTCTGTGTTATTTGACAGTCTTAATATATAATAAACACAATTTTTTCGCTCTCGATTCACAATTTTTTTATACGCCACCATACATAGTATGAAGGGTATATTAAACCCATTAACGCCGACGGGTGCGAAAATGCACCGAAAATAGAGGTGTTTCTTTAGCATGCATAGAAACGGTTTCATATTTGATATCGCTTTTCTGTTTCTTGGTATAGGCAGTAGATGGATGGGCCTATTTATTTGACTTTGGCTGTTTTTTCATCAGACGTCACCTACATGATAATAAACGCATCGCCATATGCAGGTTTTCTCACATGCAAAAAATAACCCTATTATACAAAGAAAATATATAGAAAAATAATATTTTTTAAATATGTATTGGTATGGATCGGTAGCCCTATATTTAACCCATAAAATTTTCCAAATTGTGTGCGTGTTGTGCGTTTTCGCACCCGTCGGCGCGAATGGGTACTTTTTTACTAAGAAAAGTATTTTCGGTTAACCATATGTGCGAACGCTACTGAAGCGCTCCGAATCAAAATATCCAGTATAATTTTTGGTGCGTTTTCGCACCCGTCGGCGCTAATGGGTACTTTTTTACTGAGAAAAGTATTTTCGGTTAACTATATGTGCGAACGCTAATGAAGCGCTCTCAATCAAAATATTTTTTGGATATTTTTACAAGTGTCGTATTCGTATATTAAACATGTGGCGCACAATAAAATTTAAATCGGACGAAGATATATATGGGAGCATCGAAATCTGAAGCGATTGCCAGATATACTTCTAGACTGAACCTGGCTGCGTGTACCTAAATTGATTTGAATTTGTGAATATATTGAATACATTTGGTTTTACGTTAAATACGCTTTTCAAATAACACATAAAGATAACGGCGCCGTAAGCGTTACATATATCGGCGTCTAAGTTGAAAAGCAGCGTCGACATTCACTTTTCAGTTTGTTTCAATAAAATTATTAGTAATAGGAGAGAACAAAAAAAGGTAGTATTCTCTCGTTTTAAAGCTGCAGTAAGTACTACAAACTTTCCATATCATGAATAATATTGCATGGTCTATTCTATCTATCATTATTCTAAGGTAAACTGCTTACTTGATATCTTGTAAGGCTTCTTAGTGAAACTATTTTCTATCTGATGCGTTCACAGTCGTATAAATAATGCTAATAATTATTGATCAAAATTTTACTTTTTTGTAGGGGAGATGGCAGATTGAAGATAAATCTCATTGATCAAAATTTTACTTTTTTGTAGGGGAGATGGCAGATTGAAGATAAATCTCATTTTCACTTCTGTAGTGGGATTCTCTAATTTTTGGAGTTACCGAAAAATTCTGTAACTTTGAAACACAAAAATAAGTTAAAGTTGACAACATTGGTATCTATAAATCGGTCTAGAGACTGATTGCAATGAACTACTAAAAAATATAATATTAGCAAAATGCATATATACGTCGGATATAATGTGCAGTTTTAATAAAACTAATGTGTTTTTTTACTTTTTATGTTGTTATATATTTGAATTTGTGAATATATTGAATACATTTGGTTTTACGTTAAATACGCTTTTCAAATAACATATAAAGATAACGGCGCCATAAGCGTTACATATATCTGCGATTATGTAGAAAAGCAGCGTCGACATTTACTTTTCAGTTTGTTTCAATAAAATTATTTTTTATAGGAGAGAACAAAAAAAGCTAGTATTCTCTCGTTTTAAAGCTGCAGGCTGTAGTATCCATTACGAACTTCATATACGAAATTTTAAATAATTCCGGTAAATAATGTCGCTTAAATCATGAAAATACCAAATGTCTGGAGGTATCGTTATATAAAGGCTAAACGAAGACTTGGACCTGCATACAAAAATATTTATCATAGCCTGTAATATCCCTTACGAACTTCATATATGAAATTTTAAATAATTCCCATAAATTATGTCGCTGAAATCATGAAAATACCGATATGGGGCTATACGAAAACGTGAACCGATATGGTCCATTTACGAACTTAACCTGCCTAATGGTAAACTATTCATGTATGCAAATTTTAGCCTTCTATCTCAATTCGTTCGAGAGATAGCGTGATTACAGATAGACAGACAGATGGGCATCGCTAAATCGTCGTAAAATTTTAAGCTGATCCAGAATATTTATTCTTTGTAGGAGTTACAAATAATATAAAATAAATAACCTAGGGGAATTAAAAAAATAAAAAAAAAAACACTATAGAGCAAATATTAAAAAAATATATCTTTTATTTAAAAAAAAACGACATGGGTGCAAAGCAAAACCCAAAAAACTAAATCAAGCATGGAAAGGGTGAAACACGACGAGGAATGGAAAGTTCTGGTGGAAAATACATACTACCATTTACGACGGTACTTTAGAATATATCAAAAATTAAAAATGGAAAAATTCAAAGGAATTGAGTAATGCGAAGGCTCACTAAAAAGATCTGCTCGCCCAATGAAAAATTGATTAACTCGGAAAGAGCGCGGCAAGATGACGAAGTTGAGAGAGATAATCTGTCCAAACAACTGGCAAATGTAATAAAAATAATAATGCTGTTAATCTAATCAAAAATAATAATAGAAATTTTCACGTTGACAAGTTCTCATTTTGAGGAATGGGAAGAAGAAGGAAATTCGGGTGTCGATTCTGCGCTCTGGGAGGAACATATAAATTTAGTTAAAAATAGTAAAAGCAATGATTATTATTTTCATATATATATATATATATATATATATATATATATATATATATATATATATATATATATATATACATATATATGTATAATATATGTATATTAATATATGTATATTAATAGTTCTATTTCAGAGAACAAAAACGAAAAAATAAGCAAGAAACTACGAACTAAATGCACCAACATATACGACGAATGTGGTAAATCAGCTGCTGAAGAATGTATCGTGGAAGCGAGAAATAAGGAGCGAGATAAATTAAAAAATGGTAGAATTGATAAGAAACATCGGGAATCCTCATTGAAACAAACATGTACAAAATACATAAGCAAAGAGCTAAGCACAGATATCGTAAGAAAATATACTGTGTGACTGATCGCAGTCAGCAACTACGAAATCACAAG